GGTCTTGTGAGGGTCAAGTGTGGGTCACCAGCAAGAGTCTTGTGGTGGATCTTGTGATGGGTCAGTGTGGGCGTGTCAAGTGAGGGTCTTGTGATGGGTCAGGTGTGAGTCTGTAGGATGAGGGTAGAGGTTTTGTTCTCCGAGCTTGTGGGTTGGTTTCTGAACATTTTGTTACCAGGCTAGGAGACATCTTCAGCGGCGTTTAGGGGGGGTGTCAGTTGTTGGTGTTCTTCTGTTTATAAGGGCTTCATGTGGTCGGTGGGTCTTGTGATGGGGAGGTCATGCCAGGTGAGGGTCCCATCAGGGCAGGGTCTTGTGATGGATCAGGTGTGGGTGTGACAAGTGAGGGTCTTACAGTGGGTTCTGTGATAGGTCAGGTGTTAGACATTAGTGGGAGTCTTGTGGTGGATCTTGTGATGGGAAGGTTACATCACAGTGATGGTCAATGGGAGGTGAAGTGCTGGTGGGAGGGGTACTTGCGTGTGTTGGTTGAGGGTGGGTCCTGTCTCTGGTTGATTTGGATCCTGATGGGTTTGTAGGCTGGTGGTAGGTCGATGTATCTGTGGATGGAAGCCACGGATGGAAACTCATCAAGGAGAGAAGCAACCTGGAACTAAGGAGAAACTTCCTGACAGTTAGAACAATTAACCAGTGGAACAACCTGCCTCCAGAAGCGGCGAATGCTCCAACACTGGAAGTTTTTAAGAAGGGACTGGGCAGCCATTTGTCTGAAATGGTATAGGGTTTCCTGCCTGAGCAGGGGGTTGGACTAGATGACCTCCAAGGATCCTTCCAACTTTATTATTATTATTATTGATCATCGCACAGTCAGCCAGATGTTCAGACTGGATTTGGCATTTTGTCTCTCTATCGAGTCCTTACCAAGGACCTGGGATAGGCAGATGTGGATGATGATGATGATGATGATGACTACTACTACTACTACTATTGCTATTAGTATTACTATCTGACAAAACAAGTCAGAAAGCAAGGGACTTTGGTGAACTTAGTGAAGGGTTTTTCCTTTTGAGGCTTCCGCTTCCCTGTGTGAGATGCAGACAAGACATTTGGAGACGGCGCTAATTTTAATAAGGACCATCAGCTCCTCTGATATTTTTACAGATGGAGGTTTCAGAGTCACGTGGAGTTTAGGAGCTCCAGGTTATCACTTCCATAATGCCCATAAGGTGGCAACCTTGTGCCAACTTATCCAGGAATCAAGCTGGCTAGGAATAGTCAGTCCTGGACTCGTAAACCCTGGAAACCAAAACATGAGAAATATTTCCTGGCTGCTCTAGCAAGATCATACTCTCTGTTGCTTACACTGGTGACATTGAAATACCAATGTTGTTCCAAGCAGATTAGATTTATAATTTAGTTTAAAGGGTTAGACTAGCGGTTCTCCACCTGTGGGTCGGGACCCCATTTGGGGTCGAACGACCATTTCACGGGGGTCGCCAAACAACGCAGTCCGCCATTTTTTCCCCCTTTTCCTTAGCTGTGCTACTCCCTTTTATTCTATTGGCTTTTGGAAACCAATAGAATTAGACTCTCTTGAATAGAGTCTAATTCTATTGAATTGTCCAGGCTGTCTCTGCCCTACTGAGCCGGCCAAAAGTCCCATTCTGCAAACGATGCTGCAAGTTGTCTGCAGCGAAGGCGAGCTGTCTGGAAGTTTCCACCCCTCCCTGCTGAGCAACTACTAAAAATGTAAGCAAAAGAGGGCCAGGGGTGGGAGGTGGGAGGCCGGCGGGCGCAGGGAGGGTTGCTGGCACGCGTGGGGCCCGGCGGGTGCCTTACCTCCCTTGGGCTGGGCCAGCTGGTGGCCCAGCCGGTGGTCGCCCTGCGCCATCTCTGCCGCTTGCCAGCTACGCCTCGGCCGGCGCAGGGGGCGGCACCACGCATGCATGGTGCTCCCAGGCAGGGAAAGTCCTCAACATACGACCGGTTGGGTAGTCCTTGACTTATGACCAGTTGGGGGTCGCGGCATTAAAAAGGTTGAGAACCGCTGGGTTAGACACATTTTTCCATTTTCTTTAACAAGATTTATTGAAATGGATGGGATGGGGGTGGGTGGGTTTATAAACATTCCAGCAACTGAACCCCTGCCAACTTAGAATTTATATATACCTGGGTTTCTTAGGAGACAGACTTTTAGACTTTCTCTTTTTAGTATGAATTAAGAACAAAATGGGTCTTTTCGCTGATAACAGGGAAGTTTCCAATTGGTGTGTATCTCATAGTCTGGGAACCAACTTTTACATCGCCTTTGACAGAGGGTCAAAGGTTTTTAACATTATGAGAAAAAGAGCAATACGGATTGCTGGTGGGATTCAGCTGGTTTGCACCCCTTCCGCAGAACCGGTAGCTAATGTTTTGTTGCCCTCTTGATGGCTAGACCATTACAGACTGCATGTCAAATCCTGATTTAAACTGAGCCAGCCTGGAGCAATTAATTCTCTGAAATGAAGTTTGTTCCTTCTACTATAACCAGATTTTTTTGGAGGGGGGGGTTGTGTGTGTGTGTGTGTGTGTGTGTGTTCTGAGAACCATATGAGCACTTTTGTGAGTTGAGTGGCTTTCCAGCCGACAAGCCCAGCGTCGTATCCACTGCCATTTTTGGGAGGAAAAACAAGAGAGGAATCTAATGAAAGAAACAGGGTGTGGTTATTAAAAAAAAAAAATAGCCAAGATGGCAGCCGTGGGCGTGTAATCAATGCCCCATCCCTGGGCAGAGCTTGAAGTCCACCCTCCTGACTTTTTGGACCCTAACCCTGTGGCCACCTCTACGGTGAACAAATCTAACAAACAAGTGATATAAAAGGATGTAAATCACAGTTCCGTCACCTTCTGAATGTCTGCAGTTCTTCCTTTCTCAGTATATCCGGGAACAATCCTAGAAGTTGAATTGGGCAAACGTTTCATCAGCTCATGCCTGAAGTAGGACAATTTAGACTGAACGTGACATCGGATCCAGCATGGAGAAGGATCAGCTGGGTGGAGGTGAACATTCCAGACACTGGCGTGGGTTCCCGCTTGCAGATTTGGTCACGTCAGGCTCAGGTGAAGACATTCTCTGCTTCTCCTTGATCATTAGCAGTGGCTAGTAGCTGTCATTAGAGGATTAAACTAGAGGGAGCCGTATTGGCCAGATCCCTCCTGATCTGACAAGTAACATGCTGTAAGCAGAGCCGGCAGGCCATTGGCAAAGTATTTGTCTGGGAAAGTTAATGAGGACACACGACTTGTGATGTGTCTTTGTGATGTTTCATAGTATGCTTATTGCACAATTGAAGTGTTTGAGGTTGAAATCACACTGAGAGGTGTTTTCCATTGACTCAAAGCTTCTCTCTCTCTCCCTCTCCCTCCCTGTCTCCTTCTCTCTCTCTCCCCTCCTTCCCTCCCTCTCCCTCCCGCTCACACCCTCTCCCTCCCTCCCTCCCTCCCTCTCTCCCTCTCTCTCCCCTCCTTCCCTCTCTCTCTCCCTCCCTCTCTTCCCTCCTTCCCTCCCTCTCCCTCCCGCTCACTCGTTCTCCCTCCCTCCCTCTCTCCCTCCCTCTCTCCCCTCCTTCCCTCTCTCTCCCTCCCTCTCTCCCCTCCTTCCCTCTCTCTCTCCCTCCCTCTCTCCCCTCCTTCCCTCCCTCTCCCTCTCGCTCACTCCTTCTCCCTCCCTCCTCACTCTCTCTACTCCCTCCCTCCCACCTCCTTCCCTCTCTCTTCCGCTTCCCTCTCTCCCTCCCTCTCCCCTCCTTCCCTCCCTCTCTCTCCCTCCCTCTCTCCTTCCCTCTCTCTCTCCCTCCCTCTCAATCTCACTCCTCCTTCCCTCCCTCTCTCTCCCTCCCTCCAAGGTTGACTCAGCTTTCCATCCTTCCAAGGTTAGTAAAATGAGGACCCAGATTGTTGGCAACAGGCTAACCCTGGAAACTGCTTAGAGAGGGCTGTAAAGCACTGTGAAGCGGTATATAAGTCTAAGTGCTACAGCTAAGTCTAAGTAAGTAAGTAAGGAGGGAGGGAGGGAGGGAGAAAGAGATATCTGTGGTGGCACAGTGGTTACAATGGAGCATTGCAGGCAAACTCTGCCAGAAGCCAAGAGTTCGATCCTGACCAGCTCAAGGTTGACTCAGCCTTACATCCTTCCAAGGTCGGTAAAATGAGGAGCCAGGTTGTTGGGGGCAACATGCTGACTTTGTAAACCGCTTAGAGAGGGCTGTAAAGCACTATGAAGCAGTATACAAGTCTAAATTCTATTGCTAGTCCTTCCTTCCTTCCTTCCTTCCTTCCTTCCTTCCTTCCTTCCTTCCTTCCTTCCTTCCTTCCTTCCTTGATGGTGCAATGGTCATAATGCAGCATTGCAGGCTGACTCTGCCCACTGCCAGCAGTTCGATCCTGACCGGTTCAAGGTTGACTCAGCCTTCCATCCTTCCAAGGTCGGTCAAAAGAGGACCCAAATTGTTGGGGGTCCTCAAGATGCTGACTCTGCAAACGCTTAGAGAGGGCCGTAAAGCACCGTGAAGGGCTATATAAGTCTAAGTGCTGTCGCTATTGCTACTAGCTATCTGAAATATCAGGTTAGGGACAGTTCTCTGTGCGATTGCTGAGCGTTGCCTCTGCCTTGATGCTGGCTAATCAATCAATCCAATCTTACCTTATTACTCGCCTCTTTGATCACGTTTGCTTCATCAAGAACGAACATTAGTCATGCATTATATTGTTTTCCCGTTGCTTTGAGTTCGATGCTGTAAGTCTCTTGGAGAATTATCTCTGCTAAGCTGAAGGAAGGTGTGAGTTTGTGTACAAGTTTGTAGCATCTCTTGCTCAACACCCACCCGCCTGCTCCAGTTTCACAGAGCCCTCAATCACTCCGGGGGCAACAATGGCATTAGGCTAACCAGCTTAACCAAGAGGGCTAGAGGTGGGGCAGATTAGGGCTGTGTCAAGGAATCGAAGTGCTGTATTTAAGCTCCAGCCAGGCCTTGGCAGTTCCTGCCCACTCCAGCCGAGAAAGACTTCCTGGGAAAGTGTCCCATGTCAAGAGTTTTTCTCGGAGATGTTTCCATGGGTGAGTGAGTTTGGGGTCGATAAGAAAGCGGAACTTTTCAGGGGACAAAAAACAAACAAACAAAAAAGCCGGAGGGAAACCTGGCTGGAGCTCTCTGGGCACTGCAATCACTGTGGGATTGGAGTGACATTGTCGATTCTCCGCAGGACAACGCACTGCAGGACAATTTAACAATTCTGTTTGATTATTTAAAATATTCTTTAAAAAAAAAACTTATCTTCACATTTGCCATTCCCAAGGAAGGAAGGAAGGAAGAGAATGGGAAGAAGAAGGGAGGGAGGGAATGGGAAGAGGAAGGAAGGGAGGGAGGAAATGGGAAAAGAAGGAAGGGAGGGAGGAAATGGGAAGAGGAAGGGAGGAAGGGAATGGGAAGAGGAAGGAAAGGAGGGAGGAAATGGGAAAGGAAGGAAGAAAGGAAGGGAATGGGAAGAGGGAGGGAGGGAGGAAATGGGAAGAGGAAGGGAGGGAGGAAATGGGAAAAGGGAGGGAGGAAATGGGAAGTTGAAGGGAGGGAGGGAATGGGAAGAGGAAGGGAGGGAGGGAATGGGAAGAGGAAGGAAGGGAGGGAGGGAATGGGAAGAGGAAGGAAGGGAGGGAGGAAATGGGAAAAGGAAGGGAGGGAGGGAGGAAATGGGAAGAGGAAGGGAGGGAGGAAATGGGAAGAGGAAGGAAGGGAAGGAGGGGGAGAGGGAAAGGGAAAAGGAAGGAGGGAAGGAAGATAACAGTGCTTGAGATTATTATAAAGGGAATTAAAATTAGATTTGCCAATAGAATATACATTTATGGTTGGGTATACACCTAGTCTTGGACTTACAACAGTTCATCCCAATCTGGAATGGGATGGGGGGGGGAAGATACTCAAGAGGAGGCTCTTCTCCTTTGCTTTGCCAAGGTGTGCGAAGAGGTGTGGACCGCAAGGGCACAGGCCTGCTCCCAGGTGCACGTTCTAGGGCGGGTGGTGTAAATCCTGAGCATTGCTCACCGGTGCAGGAAGTAGCAAACTTTTTTTGCCCACCTATCCAGTCCTCCGAAGGACCTGGCAGAGGCAGAGGGGGAGGCTGGATGGTGTTACAAATGTGGTGGCAGGATATTGTCGTAAACTCATCTTTTGCAATTGACTGATGGTGAATTTGTCAGTGCCAATGGTGTCGTGGATGGATGGAGACACACACAGAGAGAGAGAGAGAGAGAGAGAGAGGAGAAAGAAAAAGAAAGAGAGAAAGAGAGAGGAGAAAGACAGAAAGAGAAAGAGAGAGAGGAGAAAGAAAGAGAAAGAGAAAAAGAGAGAGAAGGAGAAAGAGAGAGAAAGAGAGAGAGGAGAGAGAGAGAGAAAGAAAGAGAGGAGAGAAAGAGAAAGGAGAAAGAGAGAAAGAGGAGAGAAAGAAAGAAAGAAAGAAAGAAAGAAAGAGAGGAGAAAGAGAAAAAGAAAAAGAGAGAGGAGAAAGAGAAAGAGAGAAAGAGAAAGAAAAAGGAGAAAAAAAGAGAAAACTCCTAAAGCAACAATATCACGAGCTTTGTAAAAACAAAGCTTTTTTTTTTTTTTATGCTCTCAGGAAAGCTGTTTTGCTTGCATCACTGCACTTTTCAAAATTGCCCTATGGAGATGCTTTGCATACCTCACAAGTGCATTTGTATCAGGTGTGTGTGTGTGTGTATTGCTGTGGCAGTAAGGTGTTGCTGTATCTGACAAACCTCAGATTGGAGGCGTGCACGGCTGCCTGTTCCATCGTGGTTGGCAAATGCTGGAACACAACATGAGTTGTGGAATTTCACAGCTGCGGTTGATCTGAAGAAACGTTGCCCTGAGTTGAGAAACGGGAATTTTCTTTGTGGTTCCTGGCATTGTGCAAACATCCTTCTCCTTTGGATTGCAGAGGTGTGTTATAAAATTAGGTTTTAAATATTAATCCTACCTCAGCCAACTTTAATCCTGGATTTTAGCTGCTTTCAGAATGGCAAGAAGCTAATCAATAGACCAGGCAGTTCCTTTAGTTAATTAACAGTCTGTTTCACCACCTACCATTCTGGTTATGCTGAAAACCCACGGGATGTTGCAAACGGTCCTTGCAAATATTCACACAACTAAGGGAGGTTGCATGCATTTCAAAACAAGGTTGGAAAATCCCACTTGTTTTCCATCTACTTGGTCTCCCCTGCCCTGTTCTGCCAGCCTCCTCTTTGATAGTTTGGGTGACTGACAGCAGTAGTGATCCCGGCTCAAGGCCAGACTCCGTTGGCCAACTTGACTTGGAGGAACTTACTTTTTTTTTTTTTGTCAGCGCTGTGTAATGTGTCAGAACTTTCTCCTTAGTTACAGGTTGTGTCTCCTTAGTTACAGGTTGCGTCTCTCCTTAGTTTCCATCCGCTGCTTCTTGTCCTGCCTTTCAGTGCTTGGGAAACCAGGTTGACCCCCTCCTCTTCTTTGTGGCAGCCCCTCAGATATTGGAACACTGTTATCATGTCACCCCTCGTCCTTCTTTTCTCTAGACTAGACCTACCCAGCTAAGGAGAAGCGTACTGACGGGAAGAGCAATCAACCAGTTGAATGGCTTGCCTTCAGAAGCTGTGGGTGCTCCAACACTGGAGGTTTTTAAGAAGAGACTGGACAGCCACTTGTCCAGAATGGTTATAGGGTCTCCTGCTTGAGCAGGGGGTTGGACTAGATGACCTCCAAGGTCCCTTCCAACTCTTCTGTTATTTTGTATTGCTTGATTATTGTTTTACTTATGGGTTTTATTGTTGTGAGCTGCCCAGAGTTGCTTCAGTGGGCAGCAACTAGACATCCCACAGGCTTTAATCTCGCCTCATCATTAATACCGCTCGCTCTCCAAAAGACCCTCAGCTCTTCCTCAAGGGCATGTTGAGTGCTGTCCAGTCCAAGGGGCCCCTCATCCAGCCCTATTTAGTCAGTGATTTTATCCCTGTGGTTTCTGATATGAGAGAGAGGGGGGGGAGAGGGAGAGAGAGAAAGGGAGAAAGAGAAGAGAGAAGAGAGAGGAGAGAGAGAAGAAGAAAGAGAGAGAGATCCATTATAGTATTTAACAACACTTTTTGAAAAGCTTAGAGGCACATCAACAGATTTATATATGTGCTCTGGGTAATATATATACACACGGGCCATTTGACAAGCACAAAATATTTGGGAAGTTCACCACTTAAAGCAGTGGTTCTCAACCTTTTTAATGCTGCGACACCCAACTGGTCGTAAGTCGAGGACTAAACCGGTCGTAAGTCGAGGACTACCCAACCGGTCGTAAGTCGAGGACTTTCCCTGCCTGGGAGCTCCATGCATGCGTGGTGCCGCCCCCTGCACCGGCCGTAGCTGGCAAGCGGCAGAGATGGAGCAGGCTGACCACCGGCTGGGCCACCAGCTGGCCCAGCCCAAGGTAGGTAAGGCACCCGCCGGAAAAGGGGGAAAAAAATGGCGGACAGCCTTGCTTGGCGACCCCCGTGAAATGGTCAATCGACCCCCAATGGGGTTGCGACCCATAGGCTGAGAACCGCTGACTTAAAGCCTGCTGAGTTGTAGTTTCAAGTCCGTAATTCGAGCAGCCTTAGCTCAGCGGAGTATCACTTGATGACAAATTTCTCAGCATTATTTCATGAATGCATAGTGGCAACGTACAACGAGAAATATGGAAGCTGCTAAATGAAGAGGGCTTAAAGAAAATATTTGTAACTCACAGTTGAATGGTGGGGTTAGGGTTAGAGCCAGTGCTGAGATTCAAATATGGCGGGACAGCCGGTTCTCTGTGTGGATGCCACTTCCGGAAGTCCATTCTGGGCCTGGGCAGCAAAAAATTAGCCACCGGTTCTGTCAAAGTGGTTGGAACTGGCTGAATCCCACCACTGGTTAGAGCTAACCCCAGGGATGCCTTAGTCTGTAGAAGCCTAATGTTGATATGGAAGTCTATCTTGATCAAGCCAGGTATTGGGAGAGCACCAAGATGATCTAAATTCATATCTAAGTTGGGTTTGCTTCTAATCTATCTATAATACTGGTATGAGGTTAAAGTAGCTTTGATCTCCCAGATATATTAGAATAGAATGGAGCTAAAAGGGACCTTGGAGGTCTTCTAGTCCAGCCCCCTGCTCAAGCAGAACTTATACTGTTTCAGACAAGTGACTGTCCAGTCTCTTCTTAAAAGGCTCCAGTGATGGAGCATCCACAACTTCTGGAGGCAAGGAGTTCCACTGGTTGATTGTCCTCACTGTCAGGAAGTTTCTCCTTAATTCCAGGTTGCTTCTCTCCTTGATTAGTTTCCATCCGTTGCTTCTCGTCCTTCCATCTGGTGAGCAATCTAGCCCCCTCTGCCTTGTGGCAGCCCCTCAAATACTAGAACATGGCTATGTATTAATTTATGGTGGTGTCTATACATTACATATAGGCAAGCACTTCTGGGAACGTGAAGGTTTCAATTTTCCAAATCTTACATTTATTTATTTATTTATTTATTTATTTATTTATTTATTTATTTATGAGACTTATATACCGCTTTAAGTGCAAGCACTCTCTAAGCGGTGTACACCAGTAAGCAGAACCGCTGACCTGCTGAACACAGTCAGCTAAAGTGGCCTGCAGTACTTACACTCTAACTGCTGCGCCACCTCAGCTCATGACATTCACACAAGGATGGACTACTTCTTGATAGGACTCTCTCCTTAAACAGGTGGGCATGTTCAAAAGGGTTAAGCATCTTTGATAAAAACAAGTTATGCCTCAAAAGGCCGGCCCTTACTTCTACAGTCAGAAGACACACGATTGAGCCGACTAATCCCACCGACGGGCTACAGACTGTAGGACTGTTTCAAAGGTTGTTCCATAAGCTTTGAAGATTGAACTGTGTGCTTTGATGTGTCCTCCTGTCAGATCCTGCCAAGAGCTTGGAAATGAAGGACACCACGTCTTTGGTTGGCGCGTACTACAGTGGGAAGTCGGTCCTCGTTACAGGAGCCACGGGATTTATGGGCAAAGTCCTGGTCGAGAAGCTTCTCCGTTCCTGCCACGATGTGAAAACCATCTACGTGTGTGTGAGGCCGAAAGGTGGACGTTCCATGCAGACTCGAGTGGAGCATCTGCTGAAATGCAAGGTAGGGAACGCAAAGGTGGACAGAAACGGGGAGCAGCTGGTAGAGTTGTGCCATAGGTTCGCTGCTGTGGTGAGGAAGCATATCTGGTCTTAATCCCAGAGAGACAAATATGAGATTTGTGCATTTTATTACTTACACACATTTGTAGGCCACCTTAATCAAGTCCACAGTCACAAAGAAAATAAAAAGCACCTAACTAATTACAACATTAATTAGAATAGAACAGAATAGAATAGAATAGAATAGAATGGAATGGAATGGAATGGAATGGAAGAGAAGAGAATAGTGAAGTGCAGTGGAGTGGAATGGAATGGAATGGAATAGAATAGAATAGAATAGAATAGAATAGAATAGAATAGAATAGAATAGAATAGAATAGTGGAATGGAATGGAATGGAATAGAAGAGAAGAGAAGAGAAGAGAAGAGTGAAGTGCAGTGGAGTGGAATGGAATGGAATGGAATAGAATAGAATAGAATAGAATAGAATAGAATAGAATAGAATAGAATAGAATAGAATAGAATAGAATAGAATAGAATAGTGGAATGGAATGGAATGGAATGGAATGGAAGAGAAGAGAAGAGAAGAGAAGAGAAGAGTGAAGTGCAGTGGAGTGGAATGGAATGGAATGGAATGGAATAGAATAGAATAGAATAGAATAGAATAGAATAGAATAGAATAGAATAGAATAGAATAGAATAGAATAGTGGAATGGAATGGAATGGAATGGAATAGAATAGAATAGAATAGAATAGAATAGTGGAATGGAATGGAATGGAATAGAATAGAATAGAATAGAATAGAATAGAATAGAATAGAATAGAATAGAATAGAAAAGTGGAGTGGAGTGGAGTGGAGTGGAGTAGAATAGAATAGAATAGAATAGAATAGAATAGAATAGAATAGAATAGAATAGAATAGAATAGAATAGAATAGTGGAGTGGAGTGGAATGAAAAGTCTGCCCAGCAGTCATTTTGGCTCTATCAGCTTAGGAACCCTGGAGCATTTTTTTTTCCTTCTTTTTAAAGTGAATATTGTCTCTTGAACTCCAGGTGTTTGACAGAGTCCGGGAAGAACGGCCCAGTTTCCATGAGAAGGTTAAGCCCATCAGTGCTGAGTTCACCAAGCCAAATCTGGCCATCTCTTCTGAAGACCTGGAGGAGCTGATTTCTGAGGTCAACGTGATCTTCCATTGTGCTGCAACGGTTCGATTTGATGAGTCCCTGAAGTAAGTTCTCCATGCTCTCTCCTTGGGTTTCTTGCCATCCATCCCCAATCTAGAATAGAATAGAATAGGATAGGATAGGATAGGATAGGATAGGATAGGATAGGATAGGATAGGATAGGATAGGATAGGATAGGATAGTATAGGATAGGTTAGGATAGAATAGAATAGAATAGAATAGAATAGAATGGAATGGAATAGTATAGAATAGGATAGGATAGGATAGAATAGAATAGAATAGAATAGAATAGAATAGAATAGAATAGAATAGAATAGAATAGAATAGAATAGAGCAGAGTAGAATAGAGTAGAATAGAATAGAACAACAAAGTTGGAAAGGATCCTTCTAGTATTTTAATAGATAAACAATTGAATATAAACATTTTTCTAGTATTTCTATAAGTAACAACCACATCAATGTGAAGTTTCTTTTCTGAGTAATCATCTTAATCACCTTATCATATATCCTGTTTTTAAAGTTCTTATTTAAATTTATTTTCCCCACAATGTTCAAAAATATTTTTATCTGTTAAGATTTTCTTAGAGTTAATTACACTTAAGTATTTAAGTCTTTTTCCTCGTATAAGCCATCCCAACCATTTTATATTTCTCATATCTTAAAACAAGAAGAAAAAAGAGAGAAGGAAAAAAAGAAATAATATACTACTTGAAAAACATGTCCCTATTAAGCTAAAATACATTTGTATTTTACAAATTTTTTTCTATTCTTTTTAACCATATTCAAACCAATATTTAATCTTTAAGTATTCCATCTAATAAATCCACAGCTAATCTTTTAGAGCTATTCAGAACATTCTTATTGAAGTCTCTCAAAATCCATTACATTTGAGTATCTAAAACTTTTCCCTTATATAAATCATCCAACATTTTTATATTTCTCATATCATTAAAAAAAAGTACTAGGTTACTTAAGTGTGTTTTCTGAAATGATAGGGACTCTCCCCCAAAAATATTTCTTTGGCTTATTGGTTTCGCAGGGGTTTTAAGGAAGGACGCTATTTCCCATCTAAGTAATGGGAAATGGAGCAGGAGCACCTGGGAGGCAAACCAAATCCATTTCCATCCTTTTAAAGCTTAGCATTGAAGTTCTCTGATATTATGTTGGCAAAATTTGGCAACAGGGTGGCCTGGTTTTGGCAAAATCTGATTTGAAACTGTTCCAGGCATCTGGATAAGGTTTGGAACCTGGGAGTGGAAAAATTCCCACTTTCTTTCCAACCAAATTCTTTGATTTTGTTTTTTTTTAAAAATATTCTGCCAAAAACGAGACAGCTGGTTTCTTGGGAAATTAGTACTATTACAACGTGGAATTTGCTGGCCACTGTTTGCCTATTGCTGCTTTGCATCAACCCTCAGAATTTTTCCCAAGATGTTTTTGTTTTTCAAAGGAAAAAAAAATAGAACAACATTTCATCTGAAAATGGATTTGATCTGATACCCTTTAGAGAACATGAAAAAAGGACATTGCCAATATTTTATTCTTTAGTTCTCTGAACCTAGCTGAATGAATGGACACAATGCTGGAAGTTCAAAGGGCTTTAATTCCAGTTTTGCCCATAGGCAGCCTCCAAATAAATAGAAATAAAAGATATGTTCTTTAGGAACAAGGAGAAAAGGTCTTATTCTCCCATTGTCAAAAAGCAAATGGACCAGGAACTGGGTGGAGTTTGGTCTCCACTGTAGGCGATGTTGTGATGTTTATTTGTTTGGGGTTTTTTGTCAACTAATTTGTAAATTCAACCAAGCGAGGGTCATTTCCAATTTTACTAGCAGAGACCTCCCATAAGGTGATATAGATTACAACCTGTGGTCTTCTCCACACTACATGAGACATCTTTCCATCAAGATGTCCTGAAGCTCCTGAGGTAGCTCTTTGGAGACCCAAAAGGATTGGTTTGGACCTGCTCCCACACCAGCTGGACCTCATCCTAGCTGTTTGTGCTTCCTTGAGCAGAAATGCCCTTCTCCTGAACGTCTTGGGCACCCAGCAGCTCCTGAGGCTGGCCCACCAGATGAAGAACCTCGAAGCCCTCATCCATGTTTCCACGGCCTACTCAAATTGTAATCGGAGACACATAGAGGAGGTCTTTTATCCTATCCCTGTGGAGCCAAAGAAGCTTTTGGACATGATGGCGTAAGTAATGGAAACAAACCTCCCTCCTTTGCGATGGATTTGCAAGCATGTTGGAAAGGATCCATGTTGTCTCGTCCTATGCAACTTCCTTTCAAGAGAGAGAGGATTGATGGCAGTGAAGTTCCAGAAATGGTGAAAGGCTTGTCTAGAGTAGATGCACCATGGGAAGAATCTATTTTGTGATCTTTTTTGACCCAATGTTCTGTCTTCTTCTTGGTAAACAGTGATGAGATGGGCGACACTCATGCGGAAGGATGAAAGGATGGATGGATGAATGGATGGATGGGTGCAAGGAAGGAAGGAGGGAAGGAAGGAAGAAGAGAGGGAGGGAGGGAGGGAGGGAGGGAGGAAGGGAGGAAGGAAGGAAGGAAGGAAGGAAGGAAGGAAGGAAGGAAGGAAGGAAGGAAGGAAGGAAGGAAGGATCTTTTAGGAAGACCTGCCATGTACATAAAACTTTAACTTTTCCAAGGACATGCGTATGAAAATATATGAGGACAATGGTTCAGGTTTAATTTCCATGGATATCTTTTATTTTTATTTTTTAAAAAATCTGTTAGGTGGATGGATGAGTCCCTCATTGAAGCGATCACCCCCAATTTGATTGCAGACTGGCCTAACACCTACACCTTCTCCAAAGCTCTGACTGAGCATCTGATCCAGCAGGAGAAAGGAGATTTAAATGTTGCCATCATCAGACCTTCCATCGTGGGAGCTAGTTGGCAGGAGCCCTTCCCAGTAAGTATGCTGCTTCTTCCAGGGCTTGGTTCTCATCCAACATCTAGTAAAAGGGTTGATTTAGAGCAGACATGTCAAACACAAGGCCCGGGGGCCTGATGCGGCCCACATAGTGGTTTCATGAGGCCCGCAAAGCCATCCTGGAAACAGTGAGGGAAAGGCCCCCTGCTGCCTTGGCCCTGGCCCAGGCCAGCTGAGAGCCAATGTACAATTTTGTGGTGGCCATCTTGGCACTTGGCCCGGTGGACCATGCCTTGGCACTTGCCCCGGTCCCACCCCCTTCTGCCAGAGACCCTCAGATCTGTCCCACTCTTGCCCAGGCCCCCATAGGCATCCTTGCTGCGAATGATGTCGAACTGGCCATGCCCACCCAGTAGGCCACACCCACTCCATCCACACCCACCCAGTAGGCTGCACCCACTCTGGCCACACCCACCTGGCCCCCCCAGGGGTAACTGCAATGTTGATGCGGCCCTCAGTGAAATTGAGTTTGACCCCCCTGATTTACAGCCATTCCCTAATGGCTCTAAATAAGAGTACCCTTCTCATAGTTTTGGAAGAAGAGAGGGAAGCCATTATGAATTGAACCTGGATTCATGGATGGAAATCTATCATGGAATCTTATGGTCAGGAGGCCATGAGGTCACATGGATCCAAGAAAATGTCAGCCAGGTGGACTTCACTCTGAATGGTTAAATTAATTTTATGGACACATTGAAACACGGAAGAACAAGCGATGCTGAAAAACAGACAAACAACACATTGAAACATTGAAAAACAGACAAATGATGTTGAAAAACAGACAAACAACACATTGAAACATTGAAAAACAGACAAATGATGTTGAAAAACAGACAAACAACACATTGAAACATTTAAAAAACAGACAAATGATGTTGAAAAACAGACAAACAACCACATTGAAACATTGAAAAACAGACAAACAACACATTGAAACATTGAAAAACAAACAACACATTAAAACATTAAAAAACAAACAAACAACATTGAAAAACAGACACATAACACATTGAAACATTGAAAAACGGACAAACGATGTTGAAAAACATATAAACAACACATTAAAACATTGAAAAACAGACAAACAACACTGGAAAACAGACAAACACATTGAAACATTTAAAAAACAGACAAATGACATTGAAAAACAAGCAACACATTGAAACATTGAAAAACAAACGACACATTGAAACATTAAAAAAAGACAAATGATGTTGAAAAACAGATAAAACCACATTGAAATATTGAAAAACAGACAAACAACACATTGAAACATTGAAAAACAGACAAACAACACATTAAAACATTTAAAAACAGACGAACAACGTTGAAAAACAGACAAACAACACATTGAAACATTGAAAAACAGACAAACAACGTTGAAAAACAGACAAACAACACATTGAAACATTGAAAAACAGACAAACGATGTTGAAAAACAGACAAACAACACAAAGGGGCACGGGTCTAATCTCCAACCAGAAAACACGATCAAATCCCTTGTTTAGAGTCAGGCCCTTCAAATTCATTACAACAATAGAACATCCCTTTATGGAAACTCACATCTGGGGCTACATATTGAGCATCTCTCAACCTATACTCCCCAAACTACACAGAGGTTTCTCAGAATGATCCACAATATTGGGTTGGGTGCCTCAAGGACTCTTTCAAGTAGAAACGTGGGCGATTACGTGAATAGTAAATGCAGAAGAGAAGGTAATAGGAAACCATTTCTTCTTGAAGCTTATGGCTGAAGCCACTGTGACGCCCAGCCTTTTCCCTTTCACATGCTTCACAGCCACTCAGCCTAAAAGATTATTAATTAATGCTTGCATACTAATCAACAAGAACAAAGCATGCCGTAACAGCTCCTTTGACCAGTAGGCTGCCCACACCTTCTTGGGTAAGACCCAGCAGCCTCACTCAGAAAAGCAGGGGAAAATAACTCTCCCATCTTCCAGTCTGACTACCAAAGTCTGTCCGTACAATTTGTGCTGGACAAACAGAACTAATGTCTGCGAAATTCAGGGTTTGGTCGTGAAGGGTCTGTCTTTTTTTTCTTTTCTGTTCCACAGGAGATACACCTAGCTGGAGTCCTAGCTTTAGATGTGTGTCTCTTGATCAAAATTCCAGGAGAAACAAAACGGGTATCCTCCATATTCGTTTTCAAAGTTTGGGCAGGGTTCATGTCTCCGTGTTACCACCGTTTTACATACTTTCTTGTTTGCTAGCTCTCAACAAGCATTGGTATCTTGTTTGTAACATTTGTAACATAAGAGCCGTGCTGGCACAGTGGCTGGAGTGCAGTAGAATAGAATAGAGCTGGAAGGGACCTTGGAGGTCTTCTAGTCCAGCCCCTGCTCAAGCAGGAGAACCTATGCCATCTCAGACAAGTGACTGTCTAGTTTCTTCTTAAAAACCTCTAGTGAGGGAGCACCCACGATTTCTGGAGGCCAGCTGTTCCACTGGTTAATTGTCTTCACTGTTAGGAAGTTTCTCCTTAATTCTAGGTTGCTTTTCTCCTTGATTAGTTTCCAACTGTTGTTTCTCATCCTGCCCTCTGGTGCTTTGGTGAATAACGTAACCCCCTCTTCTTTGTGGCAGCCCCTCAAATACTGGAACGCTGCTATCATGTCTCCCCTATTTCTTCTTTGCTTTAGACTAGCCAAACCCAAGTCCTGCAGCTGTTCTTCATATGTTTTGGTCTCCAGGCCTTGGATCATCTTAGTTGCTCTTCTCTGTTTTTTTTCCAAGCTCTCAACATCATTTTTGTGATATGGTGACCAAAATTGGCTGCAGTATTCCAGGTGTGGTCTCACTAGCGTTTTATAAAGCAGTAATAATACTTTGCGTGATCTTGATTCAATGCCTCTGTTTATACAACCCAGGATTGTCTTAGCTTTTTTGCCTGCTGCTGCACATGGCTGGCTCATGGTCAAGTGATCGTCCACTAGGACTCCAAGGTCCCTCTCACAGTTGCTGTTTTTGAGTACTGCAGGCTAATTGAGGTGACTCCTGGCTGCCAGCAGTTTGGCAGTTCGATCCTGATGGGGCTCAAGGTTGACTCAGCCTTCCATCTTTCCGAGGTCGGTAAAATGAGGACCTGGATTGTTGGGGGGCAATAGGCTGACTCTGCAAACCGCTTAGAGAGGGCTGTGAAGCACTGTGAAATGGTAGATAAATGTAAGTGCTAGTGCTATTTGCTCAATCAATCTCTGAACAGCGAAATTCTGCGTAAGAAACTCAATTTTCAGCCTCGAGGATGTCTGACCCCGTTAGCCAGCAAAAATAAACTGTGCATAATCTTAATGTAACACATGCCTCATGCTTCACAACAATTGTTCTCCTATATTTTGTTTCTCAGGGCTGGGTTGACAACTTCAATGGCATAAGTGGCTTCCTGGTTGCGGTAGGTAAAGATGAAAATAGGACTTGGGTTTTCTCAGTCTTAGGGGAAAAGACAAAGGGTGAAGTCCAGCTGAAGAGATCGGGGCAGAGCAAAGTCCAGGCTGATCAAGAAGCAGCCTGACACATTGCGAGCAAGTTCAAGAGCTTTCGGCTTTCCTGACAATTGTGACAGGAAGGCACCACAATGCTCACATCACAGCAGTGGAAGGCCAGATTCTGGGGTGGGCAGTTCAGTTCAGGAGAACTTATCTTATCCCCTTCAGCTGTTAAAGAATTCAAATCTTGGACTATATAGAACAGTGGTTCTCAACCTTTTTAATGCCGAGACCCCCCAACCGGTCGTAAGTCGAGGACTACCCAAATGGTCGTACGTCGAGGACTTTCCCTGCCCGGGAGCGCCGCGCATGCGTGGTGCCGCCCCCTGTGCCGGCCGAGGCGTAGCTGGCAAGGGGCAGCGACGGCACAGGGCGACCACCGGCTGGGCCACCAGCTGGCCCAGCCCAAGGGAGGTAAGGCACCCGCTGGGCCCCACGCGTGCCAGCAACCCTCCCTGCGCCCGCCAGCCTCCCACCTCCCAACCTTGGCCCTCTTTTACTTGCATTTTTAGTAGTTGCTCAGCAGGGAGGGGTGGAAACTTCCAGACAGCTCGCCTTCGCTGCAGACAACTTGCAGCACCGTTTGCAGACTGGGGCTTTTGGTGGGCTCAGCAGGGCAGAGACAGCCTGGACAATTCCTATTGGCTTTTGAAAGCCAATAGAATTAGACTCTATTCAAGAGAGTCTATTCTATTGGCTTTCAAAAGCCCATAGAATAAAAGGGAGTAGCACAGCTAAGGAAAAGGGGGAAAAAATGGCGGACTGCGTTGTTTGGCGACCCCCGTGAAATGGTCGTTCGACCCCAAATGGGGTCCCGACCCACAGGTTGAGAAGCGCTGATATAGAATATAGAATTCTTTATTGGCCAAGTGTGATTGGACACACAAGGAATTTGTCTCCGGTGCAGAAGCTCTCCGTGTACATAAAGCTATAGGTGATAAATCATGATCGTAGTCATCGTAAAACTACCTTCATCATAAACCACAAGATACAACACTTAGTGATAGTCATAGAACAGTGGTGGCGAATCTATGGCACGGGTGCCAGAGGTGGCACTCAGAGCCCTCTCTGTGGGCACATGCACCATGACCCGGAGATGGCAATTGTCCCTTTCAACCAGCTGCCTGCTAACTCGCCGAGGTCCCATGTGGCACAGTGGGTTTCCCTCCCCCCTATCCCATCGCTCCTGGCCTCGCATGCTCTCCTCCTCCTCCTCCTGCACGACCCACTGCATCGCCTCAACTGTCGGCCATCCATCCAGCTCGGACGCAACTTGCTGGCGACGGGGTGCGGAGCCCCAGAGTGCACCAGTTGAGGGGCCAGCAGGCTGTGGCTGCTGACGGACACTTCGGCCCCCATGTGCTCACTAGCCTCTGTGTGCGGGGGCCAATGATGTCAGGCAGCAGCCACCCCGGCCCTTGTCTTGCCCCATGGCAATGGCACCCCCGCCCTGCCTTGCCTCACCCCGCAGGACGAGTCTCCTGCCCACCGCCCCACCTGCCAGAGGCTCCCGGGATATCCCCCAACCCTGTCCACCCCCCACAGGCATCCCTCCCCATGAGCAACATTGAGATGTCCACGCCCACCTTGGCCACACCCACCCAATCTGCCATGACCACCACAGCTGTACCCACCCAGTGGATCACGCCCACCTGGCACCCGGCGATAAATAAGTGGGCTTTGGGTTGCAGTTTGGGCACTCGGTCTCTCAAAGGTTCGCCATCACTGTCTTAGAATATTCAAAGAAGCCATCAACCTAAATCATTCTAGGATACTACATAAGATAATATAAATCGTAAGATACAAGCAACAGAATTATAGTCATAAGTGGATCTGGAAATAGATAATTGTCCTTGTGTTTAGTTGTTCTGGACTACATACATTCTATGCTAACTAAGGGAGTCATGTTATAGAGGTTAATTAATTGCTTTATTTCTAGGCTGCAAAAGGGATTTTACGGTCCATAAAATGCAATCCGGCGGCAATAGCTGATATTATCCCAGTAGACTTAGCTATCAACTTAACCATCACTGCTGGCTGGTACACTGCAGTTCACAGGTAGGGCCTCAACAGCTCTCAGAGAAAGTACTAACGACCAGATGACTGCAAAGAAATACAATCCTTCCATTCTCCCCCCCCCCCATCCAGTCCCAACTGATGAAGCTTTTTGGATGAGATCTCCTCCTCCTCCTCCTCCTCCTCCTCCTCCTCCTCCTCCTCCTCCTCCTCCTATTATTATTATCGATCATCGCACAGTCAGCCAGATGTTCAGACTGGATTTGGCATTTTGTCTACCTATCGAGTCCTTACCCAGGACCTGGGATAGGCAGATGTGGATGTTTGATGGCATTACAGATATCATCGCAGGATGGAAGCAGTTCCTAATAAGGCCGCCTTTTGCAATTGACTAATAGCGAATTTGTCAATGCCAATGGTGTTCAAGTGGTGCTCCAGTTGTTTTGGGATTGGACCTAAGGAGCCTATTACTATTGGTACTACCCTTGCTTGCTTTTGACACAGTCTTTCTATTTCTATTTGTAGGTCTTTGTATTTTGTTATCTTCTCCAGTTCTTTCTCTTCTATTCTGCTATCTCCAGGCACTGCAACGTCCACTATCCAGACTTTTTTGTCTTTCTTATCGACAATTGTTAAGTCTGGGGTGTTATGTTGCAGGTGCTTGTCTGTTTGAATTCTGAATTCCCAGAGCAGTTTAATTTTCTCATTTTCTATGACTTTCTCTATTTTATGATCCCACCAGTTTTTGCTTACAGGCAAATGATATTTTTTGCAGATCTTCAATGCACCATTGTTGCTACTTTGTCATACCGCTGCTTGTAGTCAGTCTGTGCAAACTTCTTGCAACAGCTTACCAGGTGGTCCACTGTTTCTTCAGCTTCTTTGCATAGGCGGCACTTAATGTCTGTTGCTGTCTTCTCAATTTTGACTGTATATGCATTTGTCCTTAAGGCTTGGTCTTGTGCAGCCAGAATTAGTCCCTCGGTCCTCTTTCTTCAATTTTCCTGCTCTTAGCCATTGCCAGGTTTTTATTATTATCTGCTTTTCACAGCTATTTTTTTCATGTATGGCCATGTAGTGCTTTGTCTTCCCATGCCTCTATTCTGTTCTTCATTTGTGTCTTTCTTGTAGGCCACTTGGTCTCGTCCAGTGTTAGTAAAGCCTTCCTGGTATCTTAATTTCAGTGCGCTTCATACATTGTTCTTCGATATTCTTCCAAAGCCATTTTTCTCTTCTTCAACCACTGATGTCTTGTAGCATTCCTACGCCCACCTATTTGCCTTGGTAAGATAAAGTCTATCAATGTCACTGCGTGGATGAGGGCGTGTTCATGTCGTATTTTCTGGTCTGCCTATCCATTGCTTTTAGTTCTGCTTGAGTCCAGTCCACTATTCCAGCTGTGTATCTAATGACTGGGATTGCCCAGGTGTTGATTGCCTTTATTGTATTTCCTCCATTGAGTTTGGATTTTAAGATCTTCTTCACTCTCTTGATGTATTCACCTCTAATCTTTTTCTTGACTTCAGTGTGCTTGATGTTGTCAGCTTGAAGGATACCCAAGTATTTGTAGTATTCTTCCTCATCCAGACTCTTAATGTTATTTTCGTGGGGCATCTTGATTCCTTCAGTTTTCATTATTTTTCTTGTTTGATAGTAAGTGTGGCACATTTGTCCAAGCCAAACTCCATTACAATATCTTGGCTATATATACGGACAGTGTTGAGCAGCGATTCTATTTCAGATGATGTTTTTCCATACAGATTCAGATCATCCATGTAAATGAGGTGGGATAGTCTAGCAGATGTTTTGATGTTTGATAGCATGTCCTGAGTTTCAGTTTGTTGACAGAGGAAACAGTGCAATAACAATAGTCATGGTTATAATGCTCTCCTTGAATATCCCTCTCTTGATATTAATCCTCTCTCCCAGCTTCTCACCTTGATCTGCAACTGTGTCTTCCATTGTGCCATCGATCTTTGCACAATTTTCTGATGTTTCGACTTACTCCTGTTAGTTCTAGGCACTTGATTATCCAATCATGTGGCAGATAGTCAAATGCCTTTTTGTAGTCAATCCATGCAACATTCAGGTTGGTCTTCCTTCTCTTGCAGTTTTCCAAGATCATTTTGTCTATTAGGAGTTGATCTTTTGTTCCTCTGCTATTGGGGCGGTTTCCTTTCTGCTCAGGTGGAAAGAGATTGTTTTCAACTAGATGCTGTTGTACTGCATCAGCTACCACACCATTTAGTAATTTGAAAGTTGTTGGTAAGCAGGTAATTGGCCTGTAGTTACCTGGTGTTGCCCCTTTTGCTGGATTTTTCATTATTAGGTAGGTTTTCCCAGTTGTTAGCCACTTTTCAATTTCTCCCCCTTGTAGTATATTGTTGAATTGCTTGGCAATGAGTGGGTGTATAACAGTTAGATGTTTCAACCAAAACCCATGCAGTTCATCTTCACCTGGTGCTGACCACTTTTTGATTTTCTTTGCTCTTTTTTCTACCATTTTTGTTGTTATTACTAGTTCTTTCATTTCAACTTCTGTTTTATTTGCATCCACCTCTTTTAACCAAGCCGCATCCTTGTTGTATTTCTTTGGGTTATCCCATATCTGCTTCCAGAATTGCACTGTTTCTTCCTTGTCAGGTACTGACTGATTCCTTGCAGTTTCTCTATTGATGGATTGGTATAAACGTTTCTGATTGGATTGAAATTGGAGGTTCTGCCTATAGTTTGCAATTCGAGCTTCATATCTACTGATTTTCCTGGCTATAGCTGTTATTTGTTGCTTTATTATTTCCAGTGCTTCCTTGATCTTCCTTGTTTTTAAGTGGTATTTCTTGATTAGGTATTCTTTGGTCTTCTTGTTCTTCAGCTTCTTTTCTTTCATCTGTTCTAGCTTGCTTGCATGTGATCTTAACTTGCTGATCTTATTTTCTAGTCTACCCTTCCATTTTTGTGGTGCACTGTTGGTTTGTTTTTCTTTTTTGTTGATTTTACATCCCAGGTATTCTGTTATAACTGCAGCTGTGCTGTACATTAATTGGTTTGTTTCTTGCAGTGAATTGGTGCTTATACTTGCTATTGAAGTATTTGCATCTTTTAATGCTTGTGCTAGCTGTTTCTTTGGAACAAGCTTCAATGCAGGCAGCCTTATTCTGTTTTTTTTTTGTGCTGTTCTAGATGCTCAGCTATTCTTTATTTCAATTCTTTTATTTCTTTAGTTAAAGGGTTTTGTTCTTCCTGAGGAAGAGGTGCCTGGTTTCCAAATGAACAGTTGTATATCTCTACTGGATTCTTTCACTGCCAACTCCCCTGGGTTTTGCCTCTACATTCTGAATTACTTCTGGTAAGGCTTTGATTTCTTTGCCCTGGGTAAACCTTTGCAGTTCGTCCAATTCTGTTTCTGTGAATACTTTATTTCATATTATAAATCGGCGTTGATCTGCTAGTCTCTGTTCTGTTATTTCTGATTCTGGATGTTGTTCTTTCCAGAATTGGTGCATTCGTTTTAGATACCCTCGTCTTGTTGGACTTGATCTGTAGTAACAGATCATTATTTCTTTGTTTTCCATCACTGTGTATCTGCGACGGGTAAACACCTTTTCTTCCAGTAGTTCTGCAGCTGCTGGCCCTGTTGCTCAGCCAACACTCCTGAGTCCTGTAACCCATTTTTCACCAGATATCCAGG